TGAATTATTGATAACTTTTATAAATAAATAATGTGTTTATTAACTTGTCTACACCAGAGAAGAAATATATAGTATATCTAATATAAAATATATAGTATATCTATATATATCTAATTCATAATGACCGGGCAAACTTTGAAAAAGTTTCTATCCAGTTGTTCAAATTATTCTTTTGAATGCTTATAAAGTTAAGTTATGGTTTGAATGTAAAACAAAAAAAGTGAAATTGACAGATTCACAAAATGTTTTAAAAAAGCACTTGATTACTCCTGTCATTATATGACTAATTTAATGTTTAACTTGAACTAATTAATGTTTAATATTTTTCGCCATAATTATTTTAACAATTTTTTTTTTCTGACTTAGCGCGAAAAAGTCAGACGAAGTGTGTCTATAGTGATGATGTTTGAAGTCTTTAACTATTGTTTCAGTTAACTTTGAGGAAATACCCAGAATGGAGGATCCTGAACTTGTAATTGCCGAGCTACGTGCAGCAACCAATGTACCGTTAAAGCAGCTTGTACCACCATCAATAAAAGTCCTTTCCAACATGCTAACAGTGGTACATAATCCAACCATCAAAGTTTTTACAGTTTCTGGACCAGATAGCAAGGCGGAAGTGGTGAAGTTATTTCCGAAAGAAAGCTGCACATGTCCTTCATCAACAATGTGCTGCCATATACTAGTAATTAAACATAGCATTGGTGTTTTTTTTATAACTAAGTTGTATATTTTATTTAAGGGAACAAAAAAAATTAACATTAGTCAATTCAAGTGTTCCGAAGATATCTCAACCTGCAGGTTCTTTAGTTTTATCCGATTGTTCATTATTTATTAATTCAGATGTTACACCAGTAGTTGATGTTGATAATGGAATGTTTCCAAATTTATTTGAAAATAATTCTTTACATTTTGATAATATTGGTACTGCAGCCTTATTGAATCAATCTAAAATGTAAATTTATTTCCTGTTTCTTATTTTTGTGCCTTTACTACTTATTATTTTTTTGTTTTTCAGTTTTAATTTTTCAATTGTTGATTAATTAATTTTTCAATTGTTTTTTGTATTAAATGTGTTATGGTTTTTAAGCGAGCAAAATGGATTAAAAATTGTCAATGCAGATGCTCAGAAAAGACAATCTACATATTCTTTAGTTGCATCTGATTCTCTATCATTACTTAATTCAGATGTGATACCATTGGTTAATGTTAAATCAGACTGTATTGTAAGTGATACAATTTCTATTTATTCATTTCTAAGTTTTTCTAAGAGTATTTCCGTATTTATGCTTATAGGCTAGTAAGCACTAATTTAAATTAGAGGTGTGTGTTATTGTATTTAATACTCACTCTTGTTATTTTAATTTAATACACCATTACTTCTGATGATATTCCTATATCAAACTAACATTAACCTCCTATGCTTTCACATTTCTACAATTATCTTTATTAAGTAATATCTTTTATTGAGCATTAGTGTAACCACAATAAATATACGTTGTTGACGAATTATTGTTTTTTTTAAATCCTCAGTTAAGTCTATATAGTTTTTAGTTTATAATATTTAATGATTGAAATTTTGTTTTCCAGGTTGATGACGAGGCTTGGCTTCGATTTAATGCAATGAGTCTAAGCATTGCTGATAGAAGTCTCATCACAAGTCCAGTTGGCCTCCTTAATGACAAAGTAATTTATGCTGCGATGATTTTGTGTAAACGGCAGTTTCCTGAAATGGATGGTTTACAAGACCCTATTCTGTGTTTTGCAGGTCAGTGTAATAGTGCTCCGTTTTCAAGTCGTGGTTTCGTTCAAATTTTTAATGATGAAATTAAAGGTCATTGGATAACTGTAGCTAACCAGCATTGCAAAGAAGGTAAAATAAACATTCATTGCAGTTTACAATTGACTCCGAGCAAAGAGTGTACACGTTCTATTGCAAAATTTGCGCGTCTACAGTGTGCCACTGTCGAGCTCAATATAAACAATGTATCCCGCCAAAAAGACCTACTATGTGGATTTTACGCAATTGCAAATTGCGTTACATTGTGCTTAGGCAAAGATCCCTGCAATTTTACGTACAAGTAGTCAGTAATGCGGCAACACTTATTGACTTGTCTTGAAAAAAAACATTATCCAGTTTCCTGTTGAGAGTTTTAGAACTGTTCGGAAGAGTGTTATTCGTGTTTCAAGAAACTCTTTGTATTGTCTGTGTCGCACTATTTTTATGTCTTCGGATTCAATGATCCAATGTACATTATGCAATGAGTGGTTTCATGCATCTTGCGTAGGTTTAACAGAGGAACTTTTTGTTGAGTACAAAAGAGATATTCGCAAAGTTTATAAATGCGCCAAATGTATATAGGATTCTTACTGAACATTTGTAAATTAACATTTTTTTTTTGGAAAAATGACCTGCCGAATTTTTTTGGTAGATCACACATCAGAAAACGGCTGATAGGATAATCTGCTCTGCCGTTATTAACATTACAATGATCTGCTCTGCCGGTTGCGTTATGATCTGCCAAATTATTTGGCAGATCACACATCAGAATACGGCAGGTCACTTTTTTTTTTGGTAAAGTTTTGCGACTAAAAAATGTCTATGCATAAAAATTAGGTCAAATATTGATTCTTTCTATTCTAAATGAATTGCCTTTCATAAAAATATTAGGCTATCACATTATAAAAATTCTATTATATGATCTGCCGAATTATTTGGCAGATCACACATTAGGAAACGGCTGATTGAATAATCTGCTCTGCCGTTATTAACATTTCAATGATCTGCTCTGCCAATCTGCTCTGCTCTGCCGATTGTACCTACCCTTATAAATATTGTATTTTCAAAATTAATTGTGTTTTGGTTAAAGAATAGACCACTATTAAATTTATTTCTAAATAGTTTGATTTTGACAAAAAAAAGTATTTTTTTTACTTTAACAAGGAACCTCACATCTTTAATATTTTTTAAGTTAAATAATTTTGCTTATGTCATTTTGTAACTTAACTATTCACCTCTTGTATGGTTGCTTTTGGTAAGCTATAGAAGCATCTAATATGACCAAAAAAGAATTTTTGTAAAAATGGAGCGGGTTAGCACCCTTGATCCTAATGCGTTTATGCACCTTTGATCCTATGATCAAAGGTGCATACACACACACACACACAAAATGTTTAACTTTTAAAGTAACATGTACAATACGTCATATTGTTTTTAAATATATTTTTTTCTTCTAGAATAAAGCCTTAAAATGAAGATTTTATACTATTTTGTATTTTTTTGTTCTCCTAAAACTTTTATATAATATAATTGTAAAGTATTCAATATATATATATATATATATATATATATATATATATATATATATATATATATATATATATATATATATATATATATATATATATATATATATATATATCTGTGTGTGTTTGTTAATAAAGAAGATTTTAGTAAGTAAAAATCTTTATAAATGTTTATCCAAAAATTAGGAATATAGCAAAACTATATAAATATGTTTCATTTTTTTACAGTTAAATATGGTGTATCATAAAAAACGAAAAACCAATAGACTACCTAGAGGTAAAGTTAATGAGAATGAAATGCAAGCAGCTGTTAATGCAGTTCTTAATGGTAGTACAGTTTATCGTGTATCTAAAGAGAGGGGAATCAATTTAATGACACTTAAGAGATATGTAAGGAAATGTCAATTAAATCCATATACAGTCTGCAAACCTAACTTCATTACCATGCAAATCTTTACCAACAAAGAAGAAACATCTTTATCAGATTATCTTTTAAGGGCCTCAAAACTTCACTATGGATTATCAACCAAAACAACACGAAAACTTGCCTATGAATTTGCAATGACTCTTTCTAAGCGCATTCCTAAATCGTGGAAAAGTTTACAAATTGCTGGGAAACAGTGGCTTCGTGGTTTTTCGTCATTTCCAAAAGCTGGATCAAGGAAATCCATTAAAGGACGTAAACGTCAGCGTACTTGAATACTCACAGACACTCCTGTTCGAAATGAGTTAAATAAGCTTCAGGAAATAAAATAAAAATCTCAGTCAAAAAAGAAAAAACATGAAGTGCAAAATAAGATCTTCATGACAAGAAAAAGAAAACTTGATCTTGAAAGTAATGAAAATAAAAACGTCGAGTCTCAGTAAAAAATAACATTTTTTTTATTAATTTTTACTTTTTTAAGAAAGATAAATTTGTCGTAAAATTAATAATAACTTTATTGGTTTAGACATTGTTTTAATTGACATTGACTTAAAAATTATTCTTATACAATCATGGTATACATTTGATCTCGAATCAAGTATACATACATAGGGTCATAGGTGCATATAGGTAGGATCAAGGGAGCATACTGTTATGCACCCATGATCCTAATTGAGCATTCTTAGTTTTTATAATTTTAAATCTACTTAAAATATTCTGGTAAAAAAATGATAATTGAATTATAATAAGGTATAAAATTTGCTATTATGTACTGTTATTTTAGAGATTGAAATAAAAACATATATTCAGTAAGTTGGCCTGATAGATTTTTAGGATCATGGGTGCATACTCTCCCCTATATATATGTAAGCTGATTTGTTACGAGATTTGATTCGACAAGCGAATCAACGCCTGATTCGATTTGATACCAAAAAAGATGATTCGCAGGGTCCTAGTGTATATATATATATATATATATATATATATATATATATATATATATATATATATATATTCAATTTTAAATGTAATATGTAGCAGGACTTTTAAATACTTTTAAAAAGCAACTTTTTTTTTTTTTTGAAGTTCAATTTATAAGGAACATAATAAGGTGCAATATAAATATTTCTGTGATACAATCCTTATTAATTTTCTTGTATGTTTCAACAACTCATATATTTAGGCTCATCCAAAAATAAATTAATTGTAGGAATACAATACCTGCTAAGCATATGTGCATACTTTAATTGTTGTTTTTGCTAATTCTTACCTTGGCTTTTACTCGGTTATTCACAACATAACTTGCCAAAACAGAAACCCAACCGCTGACGAACTGGTGGTATGCATCTAGAGATTTATAAGATTTTAATTCATCCATTGTATAAGCACTTTTTGTCTAGACGCAATAGTTTACAATGTCTGGATACTCCACGGAAGGAAGTAATTTAGGATATGCGTCACACTCGCTAAATTTCAATTTATACGGGTCTACCCCACTAACAAGCCGTTACTTTGAAACATACCGAATTGCAGCTGCACCCGGTAATGTTTTAGCATACTCCTCCATTTTTACAACAATATATACAGTTAAACACCTATCGTTGAAATAAATATATAGTATTACGTATATGGAATAATTAGACGACTTGCTGAAGATGCTTTTTTGTGGAGGATTTCATGGACATTTACTTCTAATTTTAAGCTTTTTAGGTTTACTCACTACTACCTTGATATCTTATGGGCTTATAATTATTGTAATGGTTCCTATAGAAAGAAAAATAAGTACACTTTTGTTGAGTTTTTGAAACAGATTTTTTTACATTAATAATGAAATTATGTTGTGCACAATTAAACATTCCTAAAAAAAGATGATTATATATACTTTTAAATATGTAAATTTGTGTAAATTTTAGCATATTTTCAAGGTGTACCTAATGAAAAAATTTTTGTTTTGAACAAACGCAAAAATGAAAGCATAAATAACTAATAAGTCACAAAAAATCAAATTCCTTTTTGAATAAAAGAATCTTCTTCTTCTTTGGCTGACTTAAATCAACATTTCTTTCTTAACTGTTTCTAGGATTTTCCATCATTCTAAATATTGAATAAGAATTTTGCTTGAGCTGTTTTTGTTTACTGACATCAAAAATAGTTGAAGATGCATCATAGAACTCAATGAAATAAGACAAAAGTGCACAAGCTCTAACTTAAGTGTAGCAAATTAATCCTTGTAGTAAAATTATAAAAACCGGGTAAATAATGTAATGTAAACTTTACTAATCCATGAATTAAAATCAATTTTTTAAGTGATAATCAATATTTTTATCTACATTCCACAATTTTACACAATTCGCAGTGCTCTGACAATACATGGATACCATTTTAATACTGTTATGTGGTTTTACAACTCTATTCAATGATAAATAGTCTTTCCAATTTTCTTCATTTCTTTAAGCACCATAAATCATACTGCAAAAGTTTCATATGATCTTAGAAATGTTTATTTGGTGGCACAAGATCAACATACAACATATATTGAATATATATTGAAGTAAAACTTATGAACAGCAACCATGTGAGGAGTGAAATTGCAAATAAAAAATCTATGTTTTATGAAAAACATTCTGAAATGTCAGCTAAAGGTAAACATAAATTTTCAACAATTTTAAGTTTGTAGTATTTTAGTTTATAGTATAATCGTAAACATTTAGATCTTCTGCAAATTTTTTTAGCACGAGTGTTGATTGCCTATAAAATGACACATTCTTCAAAGTTTGTGGTTTTGCTTGCTTGTATTGTATTACTGTTAAAATATATTAAACACTTTTAGATACTATAATAGAATAAACAAATCAGCATATTATTTATATACAGAAATTAAAAAGATTAAAACAATTTAATACTTTATTTAACATACTTAAACAGCCAAACTATGTTTACTGTACTATGAGCTATGTGTAAGTTAACAAAAATTTCATAAAATGCCTTAGTATGCATAAGATTTTTAAAATGTTAACACAAATAATTGTATTTATTGTTTTGGATTTAAGTTTGAGAATGTTTCAGATTACAAAAATATACACATGGAAATGGAAAAGATGCTGCAGTTTATCATCGATTCTCCAAAAAATACATCTTCAAGAGCAATACATGCTTACTTTCCTATGTGATGCAAGTGTGATGGTCACCGATAATGTGATATACAGCTTTTGAGGGAAAAAGATTTGTGTTACAGTTTTCTGCCTTATTCTAAAGTAATAGTTATTGCTGTTTTATTGCATCACGGACGTTAACTGTTCAGATCTAGGTCTAAACCTTTAACGCTCAAGATGCAATAAAAACACTTAAGATTCATTTTCTAGAACTCGTAGTTGTATTAATACGTGGACATTTAATGTATAAAACAAATTAAAAAAAAATCTAACAAAAAACTAAGTACATAAGCTTAATTTTAGGATGATGAGAAAGATCTTTGGATGTGCAAACAGAAAAGCATAATAATAATAATTTGTTTTTTTTTAACAACAAAATATTGCCTATAGCCATAAAATAGAATTAAGAATGAAATTTTTTGCACGGTAAATTACTCTATTAGTACGATGTATGTGTAAGAATACAATAAAAAGATATAACACATATAGCACAACAGCTGTACAAAATTGAACTTGAAAAGTTGTAAAGCAGTTTGATATGCAAAAAGGGTTTACAAATTGAAAATCTGTTTTCTATTATTGCCATTAGCATATTAATTCTTACCACGATTATTAGAAACCTGGAGTTTGTTGCTACCTCAAAGTTAAAGAGTTAACTTCGTAATTCTGATTATTAATAACGAATGATTTAGTTTGAAAGTCAACCATATAAAAATAGAATAACTAAATTTTAATGTTTATAATAATATTTATAGACATTATAAATTTTATTTAAAAAATTTTAAGAATTGAAATGTAAATAATGATAATCTCATTCATAAAGTAAAAGAAAAAATTTATTTTAGAAAATTTTCTAACTCATTTGGGCAAGTTTGAAACCAGGTTGCAAGTTCCTTCAGAGTGGCGCGACTTGCAATCAGTGTCATGTGCGTTCTAATACGGGATATAGCAAGAGACAGAGATGTGAGAACTACGAGAAATGGGCCTACTGCCACGCACCCACTCGTCAAAACTACTATTCCGGCTTTCCACTCTCTTGAGAAAACTGGGGGAGTAGGTGCAAAATCCTCTAATGTTGTCAAGTTAAGATTATTATTAATAAAACTTTCAAAAAATTCTTGAAAGTTTTCTCTATCAATCGGAACAATAACTGCAATATCAGAGTTGTATTTTGGAATAAGTTCATTCAATTTCTCACGTACCCTCTCTTGAATTTCGCTTTCCTTCTCGACCGTTGCATAGTCAATTTGGCCTTGAACGCAATGACCGCATTCGATTTTAAGAATAAATTTGCTTATCAATGAATTATCAACATCTTCTTTTGCCAGATAATATAGTTCTTTTATTATATTCGAAATTGATGAGGAATTTCGTAGAATCAGACATAAATTAAAAATCTGAAACTCGTCTGAAAGTATAGGACAGAGTAACGGATTTTCCTGCAAATCTAAAGTTCCCATCTCCTCCTCGTAAAGAGATTCACGAGGAGTGTTAAATTTTGAAGCAAACGCATCTTGCATAACATCAACTACCAGCCAGATGATGGATTTTCTAAAATCATCTTTAATTTTTGGCTTTTCATGCTTTTTCTGAACAAAAAAGTGTTCGCTCACTAGGTCCTGTACACCGGGTGCATGAAAGTCATCTATCAAATAATAATCAGCCTTTGGAATAGGTTGAAGTTTTCCATTAATTATTAAACTAATTGAGTATATCTGAACACCCATTTTTGTAACCGGAAGAAATACTGGTTCTGCAATTTTAGGACATATAATTAACACTGTCTGATTGTTTTGAACAATTTCGAGCGCTTTAAACATCAAAAGAACTGTTTTACCAGTCCCTGGCCCCCCGTTAAGTAAAACGTGAAGGTTATTTTCACTCTCCAAAATTGTTCGCTGCGCACTTGTAAGTGAAAAGATATTCAAGATCTCCCGAAACTTTTCAGTTGTACGTTCGATTCCTGGTCGAGATTTGCCAATAAAATGATGGCTCTGTAAAATACGATCAATTATTTCAAGTTGGGGCAAATCTGTCTGACTCGAAGACAGTTTATAGCAGATTTGTTGATTTATTTCAAATTCATTTGAAAAAGAAGATACGTTTTGAATACGTTCAATGGCAGTGAGTCCCGTAAATAGCTTTTGTAATTCAAACAATTCCTTCGAGTAGATTGTTCTCAGATTTAGCCTATTCCAAAATAGTTTCCAGCCAGTCCATTTACTGGGTGAAGACCAAATCTGATTTTCTTTTGTGATATTACAATCTTTCATTGTAAAAACGCTTTCTGATTTGTTGCCCTGATATATAGTCATAAGTATTAAATGCAGATTAACATCGGGCAATAACTTTTGCATTAAAGTTTTGAATTTTTCAAGTTGAATCTTGGCATAGGTAGAATCGCTATTTGACTTTAGCTCAACTGCAATTAGAGTACCATTAGCGAAGACGCATATATCAACTTCGCCGCGCTCATTTAAATCTAAATGGCTGAATCGTGGTAATGACTTTATAAAAGCTATGTTCTCATCATTATATTTAAAACCAGACAAGACAAAAATGGATTTTTCAGTTAAGAGTCCCTTTAGTTCAATGCAATGCTCCATTTCGTTTTGCTGGCCCTTTACATCGCTTTCAAATTTATGAACACTAGTTCGAATTGTCTTTTTATCTTCAGTTCCTTTAAAGAATGGTTCTGTAAAAATTTGATTTCCAGCATTAGTAATATACTGATGGGCTTGATTGTGTTGCAAAGCTGAAACATTTGCCCTGAAGTGCTCGGTCGGAATGTATCTCTCAGGGAAAGATGGAACTCCGAAATCTGAGGAAAATTTTGAAGATAACCACTTTTCCCAAAAGACATCACACGCCTGCTCTATCCCTGTAAATTTCTCGTTTTCATGACCATCAACAATAAATTGATATTTATTCTCAGCAAGATTGCAAGCCATTAAAATCAGTTAATAGTAAAGTTTTGATTTTAATATTTTAAAAATTCTGTTATCCTAAAGTACAAATATTTACAACTTAATTTAGATTTGCAATTTTTAGTTAAAAAAAAATTGTGTAAACTTTATATTTTATTATACATTTATGCATATAGTAATTATTTATAAAATTATAAATTGTAATTTTTATAGTTTAAAAAAAAATGTGTAAGCTTTATATTTTATTATACATTTATACAACATTACCTGGAACTTGTATGCAATAAATTTGTGCGCATATTATATACATTGCATTACAACACAATTACAACAATTGTATGTACACACATTTAATGCATACAAATCAAATCTTGAAAAATAATAAGACATGTCCAAGCATAGTATACTATGTAATAAATAACATGTGTATACATGCCGGCTGGTGGCGTGTGCGAAGTGTGCAAAGCACACAGACGGCAAATTTTATGATCAACAGTAAATGAAATAATGCCAAAAAAATACGTTGTTCTGATAAAATTTGATCATTATTAAGGGCAGTAATTTTTTTTTTGCACACACTAAAAAACGTTCACGAGCCGTCTCTGTATATATATATATATATATATATATATATATATATATATATATATATATATATATATATATATATATATATATATATATATATATATATATATATATATATATATATATATATATATATATATATATATATATATATATATAGGGGAAGTGGGGGCATAACCGCATATGGAGGCACAACCGTTTTTTAACATTTCTCTTTGAAAAATATTATCTAATCTGGCAAAAAAACTACCACACATTAGTAAAACAGTTTTCTTCATTTTTCTTATATCAAAAAGAGTGCCTGCTATGTTTCTGAGAAGTTGTGATTAATAATGTATATTTTGATAAAAATGTTATATATCATATTTTTAAAGACCTTTTTCTTGAGGATAAAGCAATATTTGATTTTAGTGTTAAAGGTATGTGTTATCAGCGTTATATCATCAAGTAAAAACCATTTTTGATATCAACATAACCTAATAAGCAAGCTATGAAACTGAATTCTTTCTAAAAACTGTCCACTGGGGCAGAACCGCATAGACGCACAGGAGGCACAACCGCATACTTTTATTATTTATCAAAGTTATGTAATTACAAATAACAACAACTACAATCGTTACATTTGAATGCGTTCATGTATAAACTTGAATAGCTTTGCTTTGAGATGATAGAAAAGTTGTTTTAGATGTTAGAAAAGTTTTGTTTTGAGAAAAAGATGTTAGAAAAGTTTTTTTGTTAGAAAAGTTTTGTCCGAAAAGTTTTGAAAGAAAAGTTTTATTAAAAAAGTTTTGTTTTTTGTTAGAAAAGATGTTAGAAAAGTTTTGTTTTGAAAAAAAGTTGTTAAAAAAGTTTTGTTATTTGTTGTTAAAAAAACTTTGTTAGAAAAGTTTGTTTTTATTAGAAAAATTCTGTTTTTTGTTAGAAAAGATGTTAGAAAAGTTTTGTTTTGAAATGTTAGAAATTAATTTTCGTATTTTTTTATTTAATTTTTATAAATGAGTTTTTGAATTAAAATAAAGCTAAGAGTATATCGAATAAGAAAACTGAGATTGTAAGTACAAAGAATGCCGACACAGTATAAAAACGTGCAACAAAATCAGCAAATAATCTGAGCTATGACAATTGTAAAGAAAATGTACCTAGAACAGTGAACCCCTAACGATTTTTGTGAGGGTGCGGTTGTGCCTCACATGGGGGCAAAACCGTTTTTTTCACTAAGTGTAATTTTTGTGTAATAACATTTTCAAAACCCGTTCAATTTTTTTCTTAAATGCATCGATTTAAAGCTTAATGATGCGGCTATTGAAATAAACTGCTAAAAAAACACATTTCGTTTTTATTTTCATATAACATTTATTCAAACGTTACGGGGGCGGTTATGCCCCCACTTCCCCTATATATATATATATATATATATATATATATATATATATATATATATATATATATATATATATATATATATATATATAAACATATACACATAGAGGATAACAAAAGTTTTCGTACAGTGAAATATTTTATACTTATCATCTTATTTAAAACACTTATTAATAAACATTAAAAACTTAAAACGTATTTATTAATAAACATTCTTGTTGAAATCGACTTAACTATCCTTATTAAAAATATAACAAAAGAAATAATACTTAATTTAAAGAAAATTACGTCAAAATATTATTAAATTTGAAAAATCAGTTTTTTGATACGTTACAAAAGTCTTCCTTCGAGCCCCTTATCTGTTTTTTAAGTTTATATTTTGGTTAGTGCTATCCTGTAGTTTAAAAGTACAATTCCGATTTTACTAAAATCGCAGACCTGAAAAAATGTTTACGCATGCGTAATTTCCGTGTAATTTAAAACGATATTAACACCTTGTGCGTCAACTTAAAAGGCTTTAAACTTAGCTAAACTTATTAATACAGATATGACGCACGAGATGATTTTTATGTTTTATTACGTTATGTTTTTATGTACTTTTTATGTTTTATGTACTTTTTTTTGTTTTATGTATTTTTATGTATTGTTTTATGTATTTTTATGTTTTATGTATTTTTTATGTTTTTTTGTTTATATTTTTTATGTTTTATGTACTATTTTTAATGTCATAATGTCGTTCAAAAGAACATTTTTGTTTTAAATGCAATTATAAATATCATTTAATACAAAAATGTTTTTTTGAACGACATTTTGCCATTATTACACAAATTTTAAGAACATGAACATAAAGAAAGGCAATATAATGAATAGCACCTTATACTATAATGTGTCTAATACTATTATTAATGTCATAATGTCGTTTAAAAGTACATTTTTGTTTCAAATGCAATTATTAATATCATTTAATACAAAAATGTTCTATTGAACGACATTAATACACGAATTTAAAAATGAACTACAAAAATATATATTTTTTTCTGTTTAAGAACTAAAAAATAAAAAAAGGCAATACAATGAATAGCGCACACAGCATTTAAAACAAAAAAAAATCTTGTTGAACGACACTTACCTTAAGCTTTAAGTTGAGGCACGAGGTGACTTTTATGTTTTAAATATCGTTTTAAATTACACGGAAATTACGTATACGTAAACATTTTTCCAGGTCTGCGACTTTAGTAAAATCGGAATTGTACTTTTGAACGACAGGATATAGCACTAACTACACTCTATAAAATCACTCTAAAATCTTAACAAACACTCTAAAAATTTAATAATCTGTCAGTATCTGCATAAGATCTTAAACTTTGCTTCATCAGCTTTATTCGTTGCCAGAGCCAGATCGTTTGATCGTTTGTTTTTGCAAGTTGTTAAACATTTATTATGAGGTATGTCATTAAACAAATATTACAAAAAGAAGGTTGTATTTGTAAAGTTTCTAATTTATATATTTTTCTTAATTTATATATTTATTTATATTGGAGTGTTATTTATTTTGTGTTTATATGTGTTAAGGTTATATGGATTTATACTTTGTAAGTATAAATATCTTTTATAAATGAGTGTTTATATATGTTTGTGATATGTTTATATATGTTTGTGATATAATGTTATTTGTTTATAGTTTGTAAGTGGTTAATATGTTGTTTGCATGGTTTCAAATTGTTGTGACTTGGCTAAGTTTACAGCAAGAATGTTGACCTTGCTAGCCAAGTGGTGTACTTTGCTAAAAGGTGACTTGGCTTTGTTGGCGCAAAATTATTGTCCATGCCAGTTAAGTGGTGTACTGTCATGATGAAACACATAAATTAAATCTGTTTGTAGTTAGTGTAATCATTAAAACTGTTGAAAAAATATTGTTGAAAAAATGTGTTTAAAAGAAATGTTGTAAAGATATATAGTTTTTTAATATCTATAATTTTTCAATATTTATTGTTTTTTTCCTTCATTAAATATGTTTAACTTAAATTTATTGTTAGTTTTTTTTATAAAGGTATGTGTAAAAAGTGTTACATAAGTTTTAGTAACTTTCATTAAATTTTTAGGATTTTTTGTATAGAGAATGTTTCCTCCATAATAATATTTTAAAGTTTTATATATTGACCTTTTTTCTTTAGAATATTAAATATATATAAAAAATTAAAACTATTTAAGAAGTTTCAATATTTTCAAGTTTTTTCTTTTGAAGCTAATATAAGATTGTTTATAAAGATTTTTAATTAATAGTTTTGTATTTACTTATTAATTGCAAATCTCACATTATTTGCATTTTAAAGTAATGAAAGGGATTTTTTGACGAAGGATTATATTTCACCATTTAATGCAGTATTTGCTGAGCAGACAGCCCTTATAACTTTTTCAATTTGCTTTATTTATGAGTTCCTGTCTGTAAAAATTTTGGAACTTTTATTAATTACTTTTTATTGTTTTTTTGATAAAATACTAATAATATTTTGTCAATAATTATTAATAACTACATTAAATATATAACATTACTCAGTTTAACTGAGTAATGTTATATCTATATTATATATATATATATATACATATATATATATATATATATATATATATATATATATATATATATATATATATATATATATATATATATATATATATATATATATCAGCGCCGGCCTTAGCTTTTTTGACAAGTTGGGCAAAACTTGTGAACGCGCCCCTAGGTATATATGGGTGGGTTGTTACTATTAACAACGAGACCAATGCTCTAAAATGATGAACAAGAGTGCTAAAGGGAATATATAGTTTAATGCAAAGAGATCCATATTGTGCATCAAGTTTCTTATTTAATTAATCTTTTATTAAAATTATAAATTTAGACTTTTCATGATATGGGTTTATAGAAATGAGTGACTAAATAAATAGACAACGCAACGCTGCTTTTAAAATAACAAATGTTTTATTAAACATATAATAAATCCTCTAACTATATAAACAAGAGTTATTAAATTTTAAAATCTAACTTTTCTAGCTTTTTTGTCCGCGAAATCTCTTAACAAACTAGAAAAATCTAAATTTTCAGCTATATCTTGCTCGATTGATAACATAGATAGAGAATTAAGTCGATCTTGCTACATGGTATTTTTTAAATATGTTTTGATTAACTTCAGTTTAGAAAAACTACGTTCTCCACTAGCAACAGTAACAGGTATTGTAAGAAGAATGCGCAGAACAATCCATGTATTTGAATATAACTTATAGACAATGTTTTTTAATAAAATTCAGTACAAAAAGTGGTGTCATCTCTTTTGTATTTATTTCATTTTCAACATTGCTTAATTTATCTTTAATAAAAAACTGCACACTTATTAGTTCGTCGCATAGCAAAGCACCATCAATTTCTGATTTTGTATTTACAGTTAATTTTTCTTGTAATTGTTTACACAATTTAAAAAGTTCATTCTTGATGGGCAAATTATCTAAATTAAATAAAAAACTCCATATATTTACATATTCATTAAGTTGTTTAAATCTTTCATTTATTGACGACAGACATGTATCTAATAAAGGGTTTAAAAATGTCACTTCTAGTTTCTTCTCGGGATTTTGAATTAGTTCGTCAGCAGCATTTTCATCATAATGACGTTTCACTCGTCGTACTCTTTTAGGCGGCTTAAATATTGCATCGATATTTAACTCTTCAGCTAACTCTTTATCATCAACCGTTGCTTGTTTAAAGCCAAACGTCCTGTAATTTTCCAAAAATGTGATGCATTTTTTCAACACTGTACTAGATCCATGTCTTTGGCTTGCATTGCTTTACTAACAACGTTTATTTGGAATAGTACATTGTACCATGCAATTAAAGTTCTGCTCTGCTAATGTTTGCGCTTCGTGTGCAATATCGGGAGTTTTGGTTTCAGTTTCATATATAGTAATTAAAGCATCATGTATGCTGCTTATTTGGTATCGGATGGCTTTGAGGCTCTCAATTTTGGCTTCCCAACGAGTGTTGCATAATCGTTTAAGAGTGAAGTTTGTTGTATGACTAAGTAAAACATTCCAGCGTGAAGTTGATGCAGAAAATAATGTGAATAATCTTTGTATTATGCCAAAAAAGTTAATGGAATTTAGTGAAGACTGCGCTGCGTCACAAATAACCAAATTGAGAGAATGACTTCCACATGGAATGTAAAAAGCCAAAGGATTCAAATCTAATATTCGCTTTTGTAGACCTATTTTTTTACCTTTCATATTTGCACCGATATCGTAACCTTGCCCTCGACAAAAGCTTATATTCAGTCCAAAATCTCTTGTTGACGTATCACTAAGTTCATGCGCAACATTTTCTCCTTCCTTTATTTTATAACAATCACTATTTTCCGATGTAAAAAAATTTTCAAGTTTTTTATAATTTTTCTTCAAATTATCAACTTTTTCTGCTTTACGTTTTCTGTATTGAGCACCAGATGGTTTCTTATTATTATGAGTTTTAAAAACATTTTTTTCTTTATTATGAGTACTCTCCATTGATTGCTGCTGACAGTTTCTATTTGTCTAAAATTTAAAAATAAGAAATTACTCGCAAGCTAATAATTCATAAACAATTTCATTATTTATACTTACCTGCTTTTTATTACCGCAAAATTTGAAAACTTAACAAAAACTGAATTTGAATCACAAATACAACTTTAAATTTCTTCTACAAATTAATAAACAACGCGCTTGCAACTCGTACCGAAAATAATGTTTAAAATTTAAACTTTAAATAAATGGAACGCAAAATAATTGGCGCCGAGAAAGATACAAGTAGTGCTTCCAATACCGATACCATTTTTCAATACCGGTATATCGGTACTAAATAATTACAATACCGGTAATACCGGTATAATACCGGTATTAAACTTTATTTTTAAATTTATCATAATCTAAATAAAATCTCAAGTTAATAGTAAAAATTTTATTGATTCAATCAGCTTATTTATTTTATATCAAAACTACTGACTTTTTCATTTTTCGCTTTTTTCTGCTTTGTAAAATTAGCCCGTAAAAAACATAGGGCGTTCAGAACATCATCTTCAAAAGATCATCTAATTTTGTTGGCTTTACAGTTTTCAAGTAATGAAAGGAATTTTGCAAATATATACAACGATTTCCTCCTTCTTCAAAAATTCCTATTTCAATACATATAACTTTTGATGAATTATTCGAAACATTCAATTTTCCCTTGTTGTTACATTTCTTATTTTTCAAAGTTGCAAAGTCAAGCTTTTTTTTCAATGACAAGTTTACAGCGTTGTCCACAGAATCACTATCTGAAAAAACGCTGGTGAAAGGGAGAGGACTATACCCTTTCTGATTGAGCCTATCTTTCAGTCGAGTAATGGTATTTACAATGGTTAATTTGCTATGGTGCTCAAAAGATAGAGCTAGATCTAAATTGTTGTAACGTTTATGTCCCTTGTGCAAAAAATGTTGTATGCTGGAAAAAGAGTACGTTGCTCATTGAATTGTTGCACCAACATAACTTTACAGCTAAATTGATTTCTCAAAGGTTATCTATCATGAAAATGTTGTATCGGCACACAACAGAGTTGCATGATTTTGGCACAATGTTTCCACAGCCAGTTTTACTGGCGCAAGACATAAGTTAACAGCTAATATTCGTCGGACTCATTATTAGTTACCTCAACGTTGAACTCAAGGGCAAAAAGTGACTCGTGAATGCATTTTTTTAATTATACAAAACGTTCGAGTACTGTGTGCAAGCTAACCCAGCTAGTTTTGGATCCAAGTATTAGTGGAATATCTTTATCAAATTTTTCTAACCTGCGTTTTTGAATTTTGATCATTTTTTGTCGGAGAACGGTGAAATAAAAATTTCACAACGGTGCGCACCTTTTTGATTAACGGCTGCAAATCATCAGTCAGTTCAATAGAGTCATTCTCTTCACTCATTACAACTTGAAACCCGCCGGAAAAGTCTTCATCATTATTGGTTATGTTTGTGTCATCAGTATTTCTCGTCACTTTCTCTGTTATTGCATATTACTTTCAAGTTTTTTTTGCAGAAATTGACGATTTTTTTGTACAAAATATCTTGAATACCTAGTTGAATCCCATGCCTCATGCACAACTGTTGATCACAGTTACTTAAACGCCCCACTTTCTACATTACCGAAACTTTTCATATTTACGTTAGTGCAAAATTCAAACATGCGTTCTACATTAAAGCGAGTGACGTAATGATAATATTTTAAATTGGTGCTTCATTATTTAATGAAAACACGAAAGTAAATGGAATACTTAAAACTTCCAGTCACGATCAAAATATATGCTATGATTGAAACACTTTTAATCAAATTATTAATTTTGCATAAAGAATTTTTAACAGTGTAATAATACAATAATTAAATTATTATTT